CCATAACTTTCAGATATTGCACATTATGCAACATAGTCAGAAATACTATCTTCTATTAAAATGAGATATGGATGTAGCATGACAAGTAGCAGCACAGGGATTCCTCTGATGACTATAATTAGAGGTCTTTAATGACAGGTTAGGTATTTTTAATATGCAATTCCACATTGCTGTTACACTATCAGATTCTATTCGGGATCTTTACACATAGCATAACGGAATTCAGAGGCAAATGAATGTTCCCGATATTTCAAATTCAGCAGTTTTGCTGATTTAACATTTTCTGAAGCATGCACCATGTGGTGCACAAACACTGCGAGCAAAGATGTTTTCCACTGAGATTTGCCAGGGATTTAAAATTTTAACACTTTCCTGCTCTCCTTACAGATAGAAAAGGTGTTGCTATGCAGGTACAGAGAGTTGTGCAATCATTCTAATACGTATCATTTCATTATCTCTGAGGAATTTAGGTGTGGAGCCAACTTCATGTATTAGTTAATAACCAATCCATTACTTGATTAACTGACTTACATGAAAAAGGCTTATCATCCATAGATTTGTCTGCTTGGAATTAAGTCATAACAAGATACTGAAAAGATTTTTTTTTCAGCTTTCAAAGTCTTACATAAAAATCATTCTGCCAGATTACAATGAAATATTCTGAAGAAGAATACATACCTTAAAAATAGTGGATGCTATAAATGCATAAAAACAATATAAAAATAACCCAAGGCACTACTAATTAAGCATGAGTCAGTGCTTCCAGTAAATTCATGGCAACTGCAAGCAACAGGAAAGGAACTGTCTATCTCAAGGCATTGCCAACTTACTGTACAAACTTGATCCAAAGGGTTTGAACATCTCATGTATATAAGATTACCAGTTCATATCCATGTATACAGTTGCCTTCTCTTGGGATTTTTGTCTCTCCCCCCTGCTCATCTGAAGCTTCTTCAGAAAGTCATCACTGTCTGATATAGCAAGATTTAGAAATTAAATGCTGATATGTTTCTTTTCTTACCATAGTGTTTGGAATGTATTTTGGACAGGAAGCCTGAAGCTAAATACTCTGTCATTCATAAACCATGCCAGGGATTCTTGGAAACATCTGCACCTTGCAGTTATGCAAATGTCTTTGAGATATGTCAGAACAGTCTTTATTTGTACCGTACCAACTGCATGTCATCTGAATTAATTTTCACATTCTTGACCTGATGGGACATGGCTCTGAATATAAAAATTGACACATGTGAGTGCAGTGGGGTTAAAAAGTTATTGATGCTTTGCCAAAAATTCCCCAATAAATATTTGCTGCCCCTCAATATAATTAAACAAAGGTATCTTTGTAAGTTACATATTAACAACTCCAATACACAGATGTTTATATTCTTTCACAGAGATGCATCAAGAGATGAGTCCAATAGTGATGTGAATATGTTGAAAGTCAAAGAGTAGTATTGCAGTCTTGAATAAATGCGATACATCAACGCTTCTCAGCACTGTTCTGCAAGACAGCATACACCTTGGGGTGAAAACCCCTGTGGACGGTTCCTTCACTCTTTTTTCAGCAAAATCAGGTCAGTTGGAGAGCAGAAATGAAGTGGGAGAAACTATGTTCACTCATAGTCCTTCAAAACATCACTAACTTTTTGTTTAAAAGATTCAGTAACATAACAGTAGCAGCTGGTGCTGAAATTGGCATCCGAGAAGGTTCAGGCTATATCAGCTGTACCTCAGGGAGGCTGCGGCAAGATTTGTTAGTTTCCTATGTTGTAGTTACAGATCTGAAGGCTGTATTACTCAGATTGTTGCGCTTTTTCTCTCAGTCTTTGTCTCCTCCATATATATTTTTCTTTCAGCTCTGTGACAGCTTCAACAAAGTAAAACCTTCAATAGATGGCTTGTCTGAAACCAGGATGGTAGGAGGAGAATCTGATCTGCACAGTTTTGTCACATTTCATGCCATATATTTATCTGGAAGGGGTGGGGATGGTGTACTGGTGGGCATAGTGCTTTTATCATACAGATTGCTAACTCCATCTATAAGTTTTCTATAAAAGAAAACAAATAATGATGTCAAGCTCAACATTTAATTCTACATGTTCCTAAATCAAAGAGGAGAATTGTGCAGATAGATGATGATTTGTTTTCACTGCAAGGAATATCCCCGTTACAGGGTATTGCTTGCAAAGGAGTACACCACTTTTAAGGGACATGACAGGCCAGTAACCTCTCTGGACAGGAGAAGCTGCCAAGTAAGGGACTCCAGATCAGTGGGTCTTGTGAGTGTGTGGGACAGCAAAAAGGTAGTTGCCTTTACTCTAGTCTTTTACAGAATATATCACCTTCTTTCTAAATGAGTTGATCACCGGATCTGCTAAAACCCACCGGTTTTGTCTTGGAGCTCTGATGGATGTTTGCTCACAGGCTGGCATATGTGAAAGATCCTGCTGTTTTCAGTGTGGATTCTCTTAGATCTTAGAAATTTTTAACTCACACTTCAGCTTCTGTCCAGAATTTATGGAATCTCCTCTCCTATTCATTTTCATATTTTCATGAACTGTTAAATAATTTAAATAATTTAAGTATCTGAGAAACACTGGCTAATTTCTAATGAGATTGAAACCAAAAAGTTTCAAAGACAGTATTGGATACGTACATAGACATACGTGAGCAAATGCATAGCAGCAAGAACATCATATTCTTGGGGAGCTCTTTTAGATGATGCATCGTGGATAGTAGCTGCCTGCAGGTATTGATGTCCAGTTCCATGTTTGAAGCTGAACATATTCTCTTTAATTATAATAAAAATGCTACCTGTTTTTGTTACAGCTTCTGACTGACCGTGTTCTAATGTGCCCATGGCAAGGAAAACATTGTTTCCGTTCCAATTGGCATGATGAGAAAATTTGTTTATTGTGTTGGCTTTAACACAGTATTTATCAGAAGATTATCCTTTGAAATTGTCAGTTTATGGCACAATAATTAGATCTGGTACTTGAAACCTGTCAAGTAAAAGCAAGCTTTCTTCAATAATCATATTCCTTTTCACTTCACAGGTGGGGCCTAATAAAGTGAACTGCTGAAAAGTATTGAGGCAGTAGGAGGCTTGGCATTTCAGTAAGTGCAAAAAGACTGCATCCCAATAAATTGCTCACGTTGTTTTTCCATATACAAGCCTTCTTCATGAGGACATCCTCTCCCTCACAACCAGAAGGCAGAAGACTACTGAGCAGTAAAGAACAGAGGAGAAGAACATGGTAGTGTAACTAATAGTTAATAAATGTATGGGTGATATCTAAATATTAATAGGAAACTTTAAATATTTATTTTGGTCCTGTGTCTTTTGTTGAATGAGATATTGTCTGGCTTGGCCTGACCTGCTCAGCTGACTGTGTTCTGGCTCACAAGAGAAAAGCCTTTTCAATGTAAGTTCCCTAAGCAGTAAGATAAACTCTGAGAAGAAACAGGGGAAGTCTTATTCCACCTCTGGGAATGGGAAGGTAAAAAAATTAATTAATTCTAAAATAAAGTCCATGGAGGAGCTGTTCCCTTGTTTCAGCTGAGGGCATCACACTGCTGACAATAAGAGTTAAGAGAGTTAGCCTGAAAATTATAAAATTGTTTCCAAATAATAATTTGCTTAATAAACTCTCCAATAAATAATGTTTAGATGAAACATGGTGAAAGAAAGTCCTGTTGTAGAGGTTAAGAATTTCATAAATTTACCTAATTCATTCCTTAATTCTAATTAATAGGACTAAGAAATACTTTTTTTCCCACTGGTACATGGGATTTTAATGTCATGTCTTATTGTAAATTGTGTGACAGATTATAATGCACATTTGGTAGAGTGACACTATAATATATGAAGTGTATTTTCCTTTTACTCATTTTTCTGAAAAAAAAAAAAAATTAGAATTCCAAAGACTGGCAACACGGCATGTAATCTAAATTCCTTGCAATTTCTGTAGTGTTTTCAAAAGGATTTAGGCATTGATTCACTCCACGTTTTAAGCTTAAATGTTGACACAGTGAAGGTTCTCTTTAAAAATGGAATTAGGCAACTTCAGTGACATTGACTTCAAACAAAATTTAGGCTCTTCAGTGATGAAAATACATTTAAAAAAAAGACCATACAGCACTGATGGCAGCAACTGCTTCCTACTTTTAAAAATCTGGGTCCAAATTTGAACAAGTGCCTAAGTAAACATTCAGAACTTGGTTCATAAGCTAAACTATGGGAAATCTGCCCTGAAAAACACCAGTGTTTTTGCCTACTAATATGCCCAAAGGTGTGCCTGGAGTCATTAGGGAACAAAGACCTGTCTGAGAAACATTATGAAGATTAATAACTGTGCATACAAGATTGGAAAGGAGCAAGCAGAGGGCATATTGCTTATTGCCTGTATCTGTCTGGGACTGGGATGAAAAATAAATCAAATCCAGGAAGGTTTTCAAAGAGATTTTAGAAAAAATTAAGAGTTGTAGTGGGGCAAGGGGAGTCCCAGTATAGATACAAACAACCTTTCTTCCCACCCCCTAGAACATTTGAGAGAAATAAGACCTGCTCTGAAAGTTGGGGGCTGATGGTAAGAAACAGATGCAACACTATCTTATTCATTTAAGTAACAGAAGGAATTTTTCCTTGCTGAGAGTACTGAGAAGTTTCCATTTTTAAGCTTTAGGCATGTAAGATGATGTGGTGCATTAGAATATGTTATCTGGGTTTTGGCCATTTTGTTTCTTAAACTCATCAACCCACTTAGGGAATATTTGACATACCTGTGTGTAAATGGAAAACCTAGAGAAAGGCCCATAGCCTCCTTGCATCTTTATTCCATTGCACTTGTAAGGCACTAGGCACTAAATAAGTTGAATATTACTTTCTTCTTAAGCCTAGAAAACAAACAATTAAGCACAGATGCATGCAGTACAGTGTGAGAAAGTGAAGTAGTTTGGGAATTATTACAGAGGAAAGCTGACTTTCATGTTCCAACACATGATACCCTCTCATATGGCTCATCTCTTGCTTCGAAGGCTCAGCCCTCTGGGATGTGCAACAGAACTTCTGGAATAGAAAGGAAAAGAGAGAGATGTCATTCATGGATTGCATTTACTTGGCTTGAACTCTTTAAAATTGCTCAGGTCAGAAGTAACAAGATAAAGGGAAATTGATTCAATCAGTTTTAAAGCAGTTTTCCTGAGTTACTGTAACAAACACTTGACTATTTTCTGTCTCGTTTGTTAGAAACAATGGAAAGAAGTATTTGCAGTTCAGAGGGTCTTATTCTTACCAAAGTAATCCAGAAGAGCAAAATCCAGAGTGGTTTTGGTTGTAACTGGCTGCAAACTATTGTGATTATGCATGCAAAGGGCAAAATAGAAGAATTTTTTGGTATATAGTTCATTTCATTGCCAAGTATAATTTCTCCTACCAAGCACCACCTTGCTACCCACTGCAGGATTAATCAGATTGGTGCATATCGACAGAATTTGACTCTGGCAGAAAACAGTCAAGGAGCCAGCCATCAGTTCTATTGGCAGACAGCTTTTTTGAAGCATTTGTCCACAGAGATAAATTCACCTTGGCTTGTAGAGGAAAAGGCATATAGCACATACCTGCTGTGGATTTCTGAAGTGTTTATCATTGTCTTTTCATGAGGAATATGCCAGAGATGAGAAGATTTAGTTTTCATCAAAAGCTCTGCAGAACTGCCATCAGCAGAAGCTGTAGGGAAGACAAGCCGAATCAAACCACGTCCTCTGACATGGGCTTAATGCTCCTTTGACATGACAGCTAGTGGGATGGGTCTGGTTTTGCAGCCAAGAGTGTAATTCTTGTGAAAGATTAAGTTTCAGTACAGGATCAGGGCAAATCAGATTTCGTAACATGTTAGAAAATTCCAGAAGAAAATTCTTTCTTCCTTTATTTTGCTTTCCCCTTTTCTTTATTTCTGTCATTACAATGTCAGAATCCAGAAGTAGGTTGAAAAGACTCAATAAAATATACCTCTGCTGTCTAGGGTGATTGTGGCATTTGCCCTCACAAAGTCCAGTATAGCTGGCTTTTTCTCTTTGCACATTTCCAGACCCTCTAGGGTTTTTTTGGTCTTAGCCTCCTAAACAATATCATCTTCCTTTTAGGACACCATTTGTCATTCTCCCCCCGCTTTACCCAAATAAGTGGAAAGATCCACACCATTTGCTGAACCATATTTAAGCTCTCCAAATGACCACTAATTTTAACATTGACCTATGGGAAGCAGTCTTAGTGCTGAGTAGAGGTATTTGTGATATTGATAGCATTTCTGAATGTCAGCTGCAATCATTTTGCTCATAATTGGTTCTAATTACAACACTTATTTTCATCAGTTTCATTATAGAACCTCTGTTGTGTTAATAATAAAATGCACTGAACATAAAAACCATACAACTTTTTCTGCAGCTCTCCTGAGATGACTCTGTGGTGTTCTTGAACGTGAAAAGATCCTGCCCCATTCATGGACAGCATGGAATCTGTCATAAAGAGTATATTTGTGACATCTTTCAATGGAATTAGTAATTGATGAATTGTAGTATTATACAAAAAGCACAGCTGCTGTATAACACTAGAGTCTTACAGCTGGAAAGCGCTCTACAGGAGAAAAGCCTTCAAAATATAAACCTTTTACTGTCATCAACAACAGAATACTGGACATTCACAACACACAAATGTTCAGGTTGTAAACTTGCAAGCTGCATTAATGTGGCAGTTAAATTTACTAGTCTGAAAGCTGCACTTGTAAAATATTTATGAATACATGTGGTTGTCACTGCAAAGAAACTGCACTGTCAGCTTAACCTCTCTCCGATTGTTTCTTCTCCCTGTCTTCCCCTCACTGGAATGTATTCCATGAAATTCAAAACATGTGCCTTAGCTTAATTTAAAAATAACTACATGGTAGGTGTTATAATGCAAAAGAAAAAAATAAGAGCTGTTTTCATGATATTTGGTCACTGTTTTATTCACTCAGAAATATTTCAGTTTGGTATCCCTTAATGGGAAAATAAATTTAGTTTTCACATGTCTGTGGTTTTTTCAAACTAAAAAATGAACTGTGAAGAATTATTTGAATTTTTTACCACAAAATTTAAACTGTTCATTAAGTCATCCAGTGCACTGCTTTTGCAGGAGGGTTGGATTAGATCATCCCCAGAGGTTCCTCCCAACCTCAGCCATTCTCTGATTCTGTGGTGGCCGGAGTCTGACCATATTCCTTATCAGCTCTGGGATAGGACTCCAAAGTATGGATAGCCTTGCTCAGGGTTTGTGTACATAAAAATTTGACCAGGGAAACCTGCATGTCTGTAGAACTCTGGACCTGGGAAAACCCTTCCAGAAAGGCTTTGGGCTCTTCTCAGCGCCTCTAGTACTGTGGATCCTTACAGTTCAGTTTGGCTTGTCCCTCTCCTCACAGCAGTGCTGGGTCAGCTGCTGAGCCCCTCATCTACACCACCCTATCTGAAATAGAGAGAGTTATTTGGGGACCTGTCCTCATGGAGTCTCATTCACCACAGTCCTGGCTGTGAAGCGAGCATCACCAAACACTGCAGACCATCTGGCACACTTCTGAGCCAGCAAAATACTGCCTGAAGTGTGGATAAAGAGCTCTGGCACACCACTCACTGAGAGTGGTTGAAGCAATATCCGATACAATACTGGCATGAGAGTGTGTGCTCTGCTGAGCAGAGACCATGTATAATGAAACCCTTGTTATATAACACAGCTGATGGATGGGGGTAGATATGTATTCTCCAGTTGGTGTTTCCAGGGGTGAATATTACCAAAATCTCTATTCACATTTAAACACGTGATATAGTTTTTCCCTCCACAGGAAAAAAAAATACTGCAAATGTCTGTGACACTTGAAAAATCAAAGTCTTTCAAAGTAATAAAGGCAATGCTCAGAAAATATTATGAACAGTAGCCCCACTACAGTATTTCCTTTAAAGAGACATCTGGGGTGAATTAGGGTGCTGCTGTGGCTGTGGCACTACTACAGATGTCGAGGTGTAAACGTATTTTGCAGGGACTGTAGATATGTGATCATGTATAATGCTGTTACTAGAAGCTCAAGCACTATATTTCCAGTAAGATGAAGAATGCCAGAGAAGAATAGAAATGCCTTCTGAGTTTGAATTACAGCCACATCTAATGAGCTCAGAGGTGTTTTCACTCGACTTTAGTATTACTTTTCAACTCCTGCAGCTTAAATGAGCCTACTGATCATAACAGTAAATATGGGCTCAAAGGATATCCCAAGAGGTGTCATTAGTCACATATTACATCCTTTTCTAATTTGTACACTTACCATGTTGCAGGATTTCACAGGACTGATGAAACCTCCAGAATTTCATGTTTCCCTCAACAGTCTACAATAACCCTTAGTCTGAATGACATGTATTATTTCCTTGTTGAACATGTGATGTAGAGGGCTTCGTAAAAGATTTATTGTAAAGAAAACGAGATGTTTTATTTCCAGCCTAATTGAATACATTATTGCTCTGAGTTTAAAAATGCTGTGGTGATATATTACACCTCAACACAACTGTACACGTGAAATCTGCAGCAAGAACACTTATTGGACTACAAATCAGAATACAGCTGTTGATAGGAGAGCTATATACCTTAACTTGCAATATGTTACAATAAAGTTTTACTGTATAAGTCATAGTGGGAAATAAAATAAAAGTCTGATTAAACAGTTAAGCAATACTTCTATTTTTACTGACTGGAATAAAGACAACTACCAGAACTCAAATCCTCTTTGTTGTGTATGGATGATAGAAGGGCCATAGCAGAATCTCCCTGTCACAGTTACATGGAAAATAGTGATAAAGCTGCTAATCCCAGTAACGATTAGTTGCAGAATAGAACAGCTTCCAAATTCACCCTAGAATGGAAAGTCTGCCCTAAACCATGATTCTTGCTTGCCCACATATTTGGACACACTGCAGACAAAGCGCAGAGCAGCCAGGAGATATGAAATTCTCTCTTCCTTCAACCTGTGCCCAGCAGACAGGATTGCCATGCAGCTCAGCCCAGTGCTGCCACCTCAGCCTTCCTGCACCCTCTCACTGGGTGTTAGGGCCTCAAGAGCTGTGGAAATGCATGTGGATCAGGGCCCTCTCTGCTTTGCATCCATTTGACCTCTTGTAACTCTCTGCAGCTGGATACCTACAAAAGCTGGTGCCAGCACTGTTCTACAGCATATAGTAGCACCCTTTTGTGATAAGTTCAACAACAGAGATGCTGCACTGCTTTTTCCTGGGACTTTGGGGATGGGAAATAAGATCTCATGAATAAATTATTTCTGCAGTAAATCTTTCTTCTAAGGCTTAAGTGATGTCTACATCATTTTACTCTAGGTTGAATTTCAACTGAAATGTTACTTTTCACCCTTTCACTACCCCCTTATCTTCTGTCTTCTTTTTTTTTCCCCAAGCATATATTTCTAAGTAACAGTTGGTCAAATTATAAACTCTGCTGCAGAGTATCAGAAGGTCTGGAACATCACACTGGCCAAGAGAAACTGTAGCTGACTCTGTGTATTATGGCTTTTTACCCGTTCATGATTCCTCCTGCTTTGTAACTGAGCTATATCCTTGGTCTCAGTAGAAACCACAGAGGTGGGGGGAAAAAAATAAGGTCTGCAAAACGCGTGGGCCTGATATCTAATATTGTGACAAATATAGAACCATAACAAATTTAAGAACACTAGAGGTAAATTAATCACCCTGTGGAATTTATTATATGAATATATTAATTGGGTTGTAGTCCTACCTGAGAATACTGGGCCTAACTTAAGTTGTAGTAATGAAATGTTTACTCCACATCATTAACATTTGAGTTCAGTGGGGGTCCTAAGCAGAAAGTGACACAGAAATTTTCCAGATAACAATATTTAAGCAGACATTTTAAAGAAAATGGACCACCCTATTAGCTGTCTCTACCAGGACAAGTTCTTTTCTTTCACCAAAACTGTAAGATCGAGAATTATAACCACACTAAATATCTACATGCCCATGTTTGAATATCTACATGCCCATGTTTAGATGTGATGAGCCTACAGGAAACTATTCATCTCTCCAAGCTCTTTATCCATCAAGTCCTACAAGATGGCCCAACTGCTCAGCCTGTCAAAAGTTTGTCAGACTTCCTCTTCCCTTTCCAGTGGCCTAAAATTTCTATTAAAAATAAAACCCTTAAGTGTTCATTGCACATCTGAAATACTCTTCCATGATGAAACAGAAACCAGAGAGTTGTGAATTGCCCCTATAACTTCCATCTGAGTAGTGCCATCCAGCTCCTCCTTCCAGTGTTTTCCCTACAGACATTACTAGACCCTGCCTTTACTTGGCCAAATCTGCATATTGTTATCTACCATTGTTTCGTTTTTTGTTTAAGTTTCCTTTTGTTACGCATCCTCTTTCATTGGCTTGTAATGTAAAGTAACTTCTCCCTGTGCAGGGTGTCTTTGTGTGTTCCTCTTCATGCAGCAATTTTCTGAACTAACCTCCATCTATTGTTTTAAACAATTGATCCATGGGCTAAAATGGGAAAACAGAATAATCCCTCATTTAAATGATCAATGAAAGGGAATGACTAGGGGGAAATGTTGATCACTGCTGCAGCCCTAATCATCCCAAGTGTTACTGCAATTCAGAGAAGGGAGGAAGGGAAGAGATTTACAACATTGGGAACTCCCAGGGAAAGAGGTCTGTAAGGAATGGCTCCCATATGGAACTGGAATGCTTTGTACACCCTGGCTTAGCAATTAAATTTACAAGGTGTTGCTAAGTAGCAATACCCCTGTAAACTCAGCAAATGCTGGAAATGCTGTTACAAAACTGGGGACTTCTTTTATTGCTTCTCACATTTCAATAGGGAGAAAGTCATTAGCAGAAGGCTGTTCTTTGTACAGACTTCCCATTTGGAGAGTTGGGAGGTATATTCTGATAAAAGATCTGTGAGAGGATGCATCATGGCCCTCTGGCAGAGGCAGGTTTTTCTACAGAGGACAAAATATGGAGCAAAAGAAGTATTTTGATCTAAATTAGAAATTATGTGTCTAAAATGACTGGTCAGTCATTTACTTACACACGCACATATATATACATATACATGTGTACATTTGTTCCCCTTGGAACAAAAACTGCCTTTTAAATTCTTCTCAGTCAAGTTTCACTGACAAACTTGTTTGACGGGCATCAGGGACCTGAGGCAAGTTTCAAGGGAAAAAGTAGCCATCACTCATGCTTCATCGGATTTCTATGACAGAATGATCAAATCCTGTAGAACCTGGCATAAGCACATCATTATCAAACCCTGCTTTAGCATTTCTTAACTGATCACGGAGGCTGAGGTCCTTGGTGACTCCTGTTTTCTGGCACTGTTTGTAGTTATTTGACCTTTTCTCAGTGGATAATCCACACAAAAAGCCCTAATTACTTCCCCAGCTTTG